AAATCGAGCTTCAAAACGATGCATGGCTTACAAATCATATTCAATCATGCAATGCAATATCATAAACATATAGAACAACAAGAGCGGATCAAGAATCTAACCTTAGAACGCGGATCTAACGGTTGGATCTCTAGGAATCAAGCTTGGAAATCTACTCTCCCTTAAGAACTCTTCTCCCTCTTCTAGAGCTTCTCTCTCTACTCTTCAAAACAATAATACAACAAATGAGGGGTTTCTCTCTCTGCCGGCTGACTTAACTCTCAGCTCGGACACGTGGCAACGGTTGGTTGGTTCTCTTCAAAAAGGTGATAGATTGACAAGACAAGGCCCTGACAAGGCGTATTTAGCAAGCTACTCGGAATGGCACTCCGGCAAGGGGTGACAATGACCTCGGCTAGGAAGGACAACTCTTGACTAAGCTGTGCCACACCTTGGCCTAGATGTGCCACACCTCGGTCTAGGTCATACCACTCCAGGACAAGGTCGCTCAGGTGCAAAGGTAACATCTCGGCCTAGATGATACACATCTCGGCCTTGGTGATTCACACCTTGGCCTAGATAATGACATCCCGGCCAATATGTCAAAGCAAAGGTGGAGGTCAAACGAAGGGGTTCCAGGATACTTCTAGACTGAAGATGACCTCGGCTTGGAATGATCTAGGCTTTGCATAACCTAGGCTTGGAATAACATCGGCTAACATAACTTAGGCTTGGCGTGACCTAGGCTTCACATCAAGGAAGGAGCAAAGCAAGCACACAACACTTAGACAAATCACAAAGGCATCAAAACAAGGCATGAATCTCACTTAGGCAAAACAAGTCAAAGTCTGCAAATGCAAGCTTAACAAGACAAAATCATGCAAATGTACATGAACATGACTAAGACATGAATGTGGGTTATTACACTATAGCATGTAGAACATCAAATCCAAAAATAAATAAAATGCCCTTAAGGACTTACACATTTCCAAGGCTTAAGGCCGGTTACACAAAAATGGTCTTTCGGACCCAAACAGTTATAGCCCTTGGCTAACAAAAATACACCACAACAAAACTAAGAGCCCTATGCTCCCAACATATACGTCCACACCCTAACTTGGCGGGATCACCACGTCTTTTCCTGCACCAAAATCCCATAGGGTGAGTATAAAGCCCAGTAGAAAATTCTTAACAAAGTAAATACATTTTATACAAGTCTCAAGGAATGAAATACATATGCCATGTTATACTCTTTTCGAAAGAAAATCACATTTGCTCATCCTTTGAAAAACCATCATGTTCAATGATATCTTGACATTTTCAACAAACTCAAAATTTGTCAATTAACTCAAGGGGGCGGTAAATATGACTTAGGTAATCCCTAAGTTGGTGTCTGCAGGTTAACATAGCTAGCACCACCAAAACCCCACTTTACCGGTCTCTCACCGGAAGGGAAGTGGTACCTCGTCTGCGCGTGTTTTCGGTCTTTCACCCCGGACACTCAGGCCAACTTAATCAATTTCATCTACACCTCCTATCCGGACTTACCAACGTATTTACCCCAAAATCATTCCATAAAACTTGTTTCGTAACATTCATTTCTCAATGCAAAAGTTTTCAAATTTAAATTCAAAGCTTAACATAATCAAATGAATGGATATGTCAATGTGTCAATTAATAATGTAATGCAACATTCCTTCCATTTTCCATCCTTCCACACAATATTACCATTGTGATAAAAATTTCCAATCCTCTTTTCAATGCAATTTCTCATGATGAATATATATACTTTTATTCCAATTCATCCAAGAAATAACACATTTCCCACATTTCGAATATTCTCGACAATTTAGTCATTTCAAGACTATATCAACATTTTGAACAACCACTTTCAAAAATCACAATTCTTATATTTCATGAAACTCATCATTTATATAAATGTAAATAAGAACTTTTCAAAAAAATAACATTCATTCATTTTGGCACCCAAAGAAAAATATATGGCCATTTCATCCATGAATTCTCAACATCTTTTAAAAACCCTCAAATTTCTAGGTTTTCTCACAACAACCTTATACCTCTAAAACATTTGAAAGAATCACACCAATATAATTTAAAACCCTCAAGTGATTATTTAAAAAAAAGAGTAAGAGATAACCCCCTTTCAAAATCACTCATCTTCTTGAGCCAACAACCAAATTTCAAGCTATTAAAGTGGAATTTCGAAAATCATCTAGATCTTGCAAAAATATATATATAACTCAAAGAAAATCATTACCTCAAGTTTGGAGAAGAAAATGAAATGAAACCCCCAAAATCCACAGTGCCAAAACTCAATCTCCACTGCACATAATGTAGCTCTTGCTTAGCTCTCCAATATTTGTGGAGGATGATAGGCCAAAACCCCAATGGATTGGAAGAAATCAAGGGTTTAAGAAGTTTGGTGGAGGTTTTTAGAGAGGAGGAGGAGCAAAAGTTGATTTTAGAGTGAGAGAGATATACAAAAATGATATACACTCAACCCAAAGAGAAGGAAAAATCTGATTTTCGGACACAGACCGTCCCGCACATGCGGCACTTATCCCCGCACGTGCGGAGCGTGCCTCCCGCACGTGCGGCCCTCATCCCTGCACGTGCGGATCTTCTATTTTGCACATCCTCTCGTACTTGCATAATGCAGGACCAACCCAGAGTTTCCCTTGTTTTCCGCCCGTGCGGCCCCCTTCCCGCATGTGTGGCCCAAGGCCCCGCACGTGCGGCTCAGCCCCCCCCTCCCAGCCAGGAAATATTCCCAGCTCAACACCGGACACTCCGGGCTCAACCTCGCACCCTTCCAAAACGAGAGAAACGTGACATAGAAGTAAATAAAAGCAAGGATCTTGAAGTAAGCTTCCGAATACAACAAATCCAAGATTTAAACCAAAAGGAACGAGACGAATAACGTACCCAGTCATCACAGGTGCTTCATAGCTTCACCATCTAGGTTGGCAGCTAGCATTAGTTTCACATAAATTACTTATAATCCAAGTAGGGTTGGTCACTTGGTACACAGTCTTTTGACTTTGTATCAACGTATTAATTGGTCACTTAAGAATAGTCTATTTTTGTTAGCTGCCACATTTAGACATTGCTTTAGCATTACATTAGCGACCAATAACCCAAGTTGGCTGGTGCATGGTCTTAACTTTTGCATTGGTATACGATGGATACTTACTTTGTGTATTGAGGATACTACTTATGAAGAGTCTGGAGATGTGTTTTACACCAAATCTTTTGGATTCTCTTGGTAACTTTTGACATGTGTTGTTACTTCTCATACCCTCCCTATCATGTCTAATGTTCCTTTGGCTTGCGAAATGTTATTTATATAACCTATGGAATGAGGGCTTAAAAAAGAATACATAATTAGTGATTATGTCAAAATTGTTTAAAACTTGAGTCATTCCTGTAATTGAATGAGATGGCTTTGGGTTTTTAGCATGGGGAAATGCGACAACGAGGGAGCAAATTATTATGTGTGCATTCATGCATTGTTGTAATGCAGTAAAACCATTTCTCATATTCGAAGAATTTTCCGTAATGATATGTTTGCACCGTGTCAATTTCATGTTGTATGTGGAAGTCCATGAATGATAGTCGATCAATCAATCCATGTATACATTGTGGTTCAAATCCTACTTACTAAATGTGGAGCAAGTAGAAGTGGTGTCCACATACAATTCATAGTGAAATACTTTATATATGTATTCTAGGTAGGTTGGTTGTCTCATATTATGACTTCTCTACAACCACTGGAAGGGCTGTTAACTTGTCTACTGTGTTGTGTATATTGGACTACTTATATATTGGTCTCGACTATTCAGCTTTAGTCAGTAAATTGTTCTTGTTGTCTGAATTGTCATTTTATATATTGTCTTAAATGATACAAGTTTGAGTAAGGTTGGTCAACTGAGGACCCAAGTTTTGTTTGTTGCATTAACTTGACGTAATTAGATCGTGCAATTTTTTTTTCATGTCATAACACGTCGTATTCTTTTTGATCCCATTGACTCAACTTATGATGAGATAAAATTTTATTTATAGGTTGACATTGACTTTGAGAAGGAGCCGATTGGAGTTGGGAAGGATGGCAAGAATGTCTATTTCAAGGATATCTGGCCATCTACTGAAGAAGTTGCAGAGGTACACAATCTTGAGTTTCTAGATCCTTTGACGAAGTTTTTATTTTGTAAAATAAATGAAATTGGGCTGAAATGCTGTTTAGGTTGTACAATCCAGTGTATTGCCAAACATGCTCAAGAGTACTTACGAGTCTATAACAAAGGGCAATCCCTTGTGGAATGACCTATCAGTTCCAGCTTCTAAACTATACTCATGGGACCCCAATTCTACCTACATTCATGAGCCACCATATTTCAAGAACAAGACCATGGATCCTCCTGGGCCCAGTGGAGTGAAGGATGCTCACGGCTTGCTGAACTTTGGTGATAGTATTACAACGGATCACATTTCCCCAGCAGGAAGCATTAACAAGGATAGTCCTGCTGCAAAGTATCTCCTTGAGCATGGGGTGGAACGCAAGGACTTCAATTCTTATGGTAGCCGTCGTGGTAATGATGAAGTGATGGCAAGAGGAACTTT